ATGCTGACCGAACGAGGAGGTCACGTAAGGCGTCAAGTTGCTCTGAACAGATTGTAAGAGGCCGTCGGTGAAGGAAACGAGGTACAAGCTGTGTAAATTCAATTAGGCGTCGATCGTAAACTTTCTGAAAAGTTTCTATGGTGGTCGTTGAGAGCTTTCGCAGGGATGATAATAACGCAAAGACTTACAGGGCAAAGACAACCCAGAGCATCTTCCAAGACCACACTGAGGTGATGGCCTCCACCTTCTTGACACCATCTTGCTTGTGCTCGGGGCCCTCCTCAGAATCGAGCTTCATAGGCTCGGCATGAATATCAACCGAGTTCTGAGCAGTGCTTTTCTCGATGTCGTTTTCGCCGGCAACATGGTTCTCCTCAGATACCTGAGGCGTTGTCGAAGCGTTGGCGGCCATATTGGTTTCTGCGAGATCAACGACAGGCGGGTGCTGCAAAGAGGGGAACGCACTTTGGATACGCAGTGGACGTCTGGGCCAACGGAATAACGATCGAAAAGAACAGCGTGGAGAGCAAGAACTTAACAGATATGCGCGGCGAGCAGATGGATTTGAAAAGATTTATATTATCGCGTACCTGCAATGTCTGACCCATCGCTGATCCCACATGCGGACCCACGCTGTAGAGAGATCATCACCAACACAACTATACGTGGATCCAGAGCAACCCAACATCAAGGAAATATGATTCGTCCAAAGGATCTATTGTCCGTGATGGAGTGAGGGACTAGACGGAACACTTGCTCTTAGCGTCGATGTCCGGCGAAGCGGGAATCGCTCCCTAAGCCGGCGAGCCGGCACCGCCACTGCTGGCCGGCCGCAAAGTGACGTCTGTTGTACCCGGTTCTCAGGTTGCCGCGGAAGTCGAGTCCGCTCACTGGCTCGGCGTCATCGGGGCCCCCATTGTTCCCTCAGGCGGGCCCCCGATGTCGATGCGGTTGCTGGACAGTTATCAGATGATCTGACAAGGTATTTGGTGGAGAGTGCGTCCACTGGGGTTCCTCTTTCAGTTGCTGTCGAGTCAGGGGCATCCCAGTTTACGAGGGAAAATTCTCATCGATTCCCTCGCATGCCGAGCTTGCTGTTCCTCGTTGTACGAGGAGAGTGACTGAATGAGAAATCAGATCTCCATAGTAGAATCCGTCATTCCCAACCGGATGGAATCTTGGTCGGGATCTGGAACATTGTCAGTCAGAATTTGAGTATGCAAATACTCTACTTCTATAGTCTGGACTTTAGTCGACGCGGGTACCTCGAAGCCTACCCGCCTATCACCTTTGCAATGTACCCGATCGAAAGACTGATGCACAAGCACCAAAAAGGTCTCGTTACTGCTTAATTGAACCTCCAGCCCCTGCATCGGGATTGCTGGCAAATACTTCGCTCCCGCCGCTAAGCCACTCGCTTCAGCCAACTTAATTACCGACTGCAAGTAATCAATTGACGGTTCCGGATTCCGACGCTAACAATAGCCTCTTCTTGCTGTTCTCTAAAATTGCCATCTACCCATTCCAGAGGCCGCCGTTGGATGACAGACACTGGATCATCAATCACGGATACTGTTGGAAACTAGCATCGTATCAACGTCTCCGCCACCCTTTGAGGTATCTAGAACTCTTGTGACATAGTACTGCCATTTTTGGTTCTGCAGATGATTTGTCAGTGGTGAGTTGTCCATGTCACCATGTGTAGAGGGTGCAAAGCCGAGAAGCCAACACTGTAGCCGAAGTTGGAACGATTTGATCGGAATATCGGCGCAGCAGCCAGTTCCTGATTAATTCCCTCACGAAGTTTGTGCTCCACTGAAGCTTGGACTCCTACTTCCAAGTCCCATTGAGGACTACGCTCAGCTTGCCGCCACTTTAGGCTGACACTACCTCCTGCAAGATGTCTCCAGCAAAGAATGGGGCATTTGACTCGTGGCAATTATTCCCGATCATCCGGGACGATATACTCCAGTGAGTCCATCAAGTAGTGCTCAATGAAATGAATAATATAAATTGTAATTTCTGGCTTTTCAGCCTTCTCTGCCTCATTGTATAGTGGTACTCCGCGTTATCATCCCTTGTACCTTTCCTCATGGAACATTTGCTATGGACTTGCTCGTGAAGCTACATCGCATAGAAGCTTGGTTGTGACGTAGGCCTTGTAGTGGCGATGTCCTGGAAAATTTCCCTCAAATAAGTTCAGCACAGCCCTGATTGACTGGGTGTCATGTTGTGCTGCTGGTGTATGCTTGTTGTAGGCGACATGAAGGAAAAGGGAATCCAGGTTCCATGCGACCAAAGGTAGCAAGTGCCTGGGCAGAGGAGAGTTAAAATACTATTCCTCGGCTTCAGAACATTGATTAATGGCCACTTACGAGCTCTGTAGATCATTCCTGTCAAGAGCATTCAAGACTTTCACCAACTTTCTAGTCGCGGATGCGCAACTGGAGACAACGAGGGGTGCCTGATTACGGAAGGCTACATTGTCAAAGAACGAAATATGTGAGAAGATTGACGAACGAATGGCATTCTCAACCTGGTGAAAAGTACAGAACATGGTAGACAGCCAGGGCACATGCTTCTTGTCGAGGTCTTTCGATATTAAAAGTGGCTTGATGAGTGCCGGCAGATTATGTCTCCACAAAAGCAACTCCTCCAGAAGCTGATGGCTGATTTCAGCATGTAACTCCTGTGATATTGACGAGGAGGCAGGTGAGCGCAGTTTATCGTATGCTTTACTTTGAATCTTAGCCAGGAGAACCTGTTCTTTGAGGCAATTAAACGATGTGCCGTCTGGGAGATAAATAGTTCCATAATCATTATATGGTTGTTGCCTTGCAACATCTCGCACGATGTTTGAGGAAAACAGCGGTGGCTTCCCGAGCCATAAAGAGAGGTTCTGGTCAAGTATATAAGCATGTGAGAGCAGACTATGATTGTGAACTGCTGTTTCGTCTGAGGTGGTGGATATTTTGTGAAGCCCGGCGAGAAACATCATCTGAGAGGCAACTCCTAGTACCATGGCTGATGTTGGCAACCTTGACGTAGATGAAAGGAGTAAGGCCTGTGGTTGTTGGTAATCAGCTGAGAGATGAACAACAATCTGGAACTGTAATGGTATACCATAAGAAGCAAGGCACCAATTGCAATCGAATCTGGCGGCTTTAACATAAGTGATGGCAGCATATTCAGCGCAGTGCGCAGACAGCTTTCGGAAGAGCTAATGTCTTCTATGCTATTGAATTGAATAGCGTAAGCGCACACAATGTTGACAGCGGCACAAACCTTTGGCGAAAGTGAGGTTCGTTTGGAATCATATTCGCGGAAGATTGCAATGATTTCGCTCGACTGGAACATGCCACATGCGCTAGTTGACTCTGAGATGAGACCTGCGATCTCTAATATCAGCTCGACGTAAATCCCTAAAAGAAACTTTGGGTGAGGCTCTGAAAGACACTTACTTTGAAGGCAAGCCTGTCTCAGGTTACGCGGAACAGCTGTCTGTGACAGCGAGATCGTAAAGCACGGCTCGCCAACTTATTTCCATGACTCTTTGGATGCAGTGCTGAAGCTGTGGTCACCCAAAATAAGATCGACGCATTTAGTGTTCAGCAACGAGAAGATCTGACAAGAACCTTGGCTTCTTGTGAGCTGGCTGACGAAAGAGTCATAGAATTCTCAAGTTGAGAGATTACCCTGATACGTAAAGTCAATGATTGACTCCGATTGATCTAGCATCACGCTTGTGCCTCGTCGCACGAGTTGGTAAAGAACATCTGGGCAAGAAGCTTCAAGGCCATAAGTTCTACAAGGCCACAGAACCCTTGAAGGACTGTTTGTATGACGGTGTGATGGTGTCGTAGCCAAGGAAGCGACCGAGAGAATGCTCTCCAATTTGTTCTCGACCCGTTCTAATGACCGTATGAGATCATGGCGAGATCTGTGTAGGGGTAAATGTCAGCGTCTATAATTGATTCGCCATCAGTCTCGGCCTAGCATACTTCCGGCTTGTGGGCGCTCGTTGTCTGGTGTATGCATAATCGCATTTTAAACTCTTAGCCAAGCATTGCGAGCACCGTGGCACAGCTGCATCGCACTTGACCTAAAAGATGAGAATAGATTAGCTGTAAAGAAGAGTTTCATTTGATAGGGGGCGACCCTTCTACCTTCCGCTTCCGGCACAGCGTGCAAGCCCATCTAGACCTCTGAGTCATAATAGGGTAGAGTCGTCTCGCTTGTTCAGTAGGATATGATTGACCAGAATGTGCCGGCGCGGTGGTAAGGAGTAGAAAATTGTCTTTGGTTGTGCGGTTCAACTCGTTAACACGTTATGAGTGATTTCTGGCTATGATGGAGTTCAAGCGGATATTGGAGCCAAACTCCGCAACCAGAGAGTTGTTCCGGTACCCGGGGGCCCGCGCCAGGGAAGTGGGGCCGTTGTTCCGATCCCCTAATACCCGGCACCACAACTAAAGACTTACAATGCTGAAAGAGAGCCAGAGTACTTAAGAAGAAACCCCAGCCTGACATCAATTTTCATGATATCTTGACATTGTTCTCAGATGTTCACCAACGCTTCGATGTCTCTCAAAACTCACAAGGTAGCAGTGTCTGGAGCCGTTGGGGAGTCTGGGGGTATTATTGTCAATGGCTTGCTCGAGTCAACATCTCCGTCTTTTGTGAGTTTACGAGTCTCAATTTGCATTCTTTTCTCGAGTGCATGTTCCCATAGAAGTTTTACTGACAAGTTTGCAAAGGAAGTCACCGCCTTGGCCCGGCCCTCGTCAATTTCAAAGCCAGCGTACGAGGAGCTGAAAAAAAGAGATGTCAACGCCATTGTCATCGACCTTGACAAGCCAGGGATCGAGATCGCCAACGCCTTGAGAGGATTTGAAATCGTTGTAGCCTCGGTCCACCCTACCGGCATAGGGTCTCAAATAACACTGGCTCGAGCAGCCAAACTGGCGGGCGTTCAAAGTTTTATTCCCAGTGCATTCGCGATGGCTGTCTCGCCAACCGCCAACTCTTCCGTCCAGATGTTGGTATGTCAGGGTTTCCCGAGTTGGTTTGCTTTACGATGTTTAGTATGTCGGGTTTTGACGTCCAATTGCAGAAGGAAGAGGTTTATGCGGAACTGAGAGCCATCGACCTTCCGTTCACAATCATCGACGTCGGCTGGTGGTACCACGGATTTATCCCTCAACTGGCTTCCGGGCGGACTGACTATACCGTTGTGTTGCCTGAGTTCCTACGAAATTTAGTTCCTGGTGACGGAAACATGCCGACGCACGTTGTGGATTGTGCGGATATTGGAAAACTCATTCCTCGCATCATTGTGGACTCAAGAACCATCAACCAACAGGTCATGGCCTCCTCAGCAACGATGTCTTTCAACGAGATGTTCACCCTAGCCGAAGAGCTTTCGAAGGAGAAGGTCGTGAAGAAAGTGGTAAGATGGCTCCACGAGCCAATCCCCTGCGCTTTGATAATCTCCCACTAATTACATCATTCTCGCCAAGATTTCCGCCCAGGAATTGCAGTCGATGATCACAGACTTTGATGTACAGCTACAAGAGAACCCTCAAAATGCCCTTGCGGCAATTGGAAAGTTCTGTTTGGAGTACTATTATTCATCATTTATAGATGGAGACAATAGTCCGGAGGGCGTCAGTCGCCTAGGCTATCTTCCAGCCGCTGATCTTTACCCTGACTTCAAGCCGGCATCTTTCCAAGATTTCTTCTTAGAAGTGCTGAAAGGCGACATTCGAATTCCTTATTCGGGGAGATAGAGGTTTCAGATATTTCAAGTGGCGGCACAGTAATTGAACTGTCTAAGTGATTTCACTCGATTTAGGGCTAGGCCAAAAGTGGCCGCTTTTGGGGTTGCTGAGTGGTACCTTAGTTGAGTCAGATGAGCGGGATAGACTTGCGTTGTTACTAGTAGAGCTTTCAGGCACCCGGCAACTCAAAGCCAAATTCTCAAGCCCATTAAGAGTTTGAGACTGTGAGAGCTATTGTATCTTTGCGCCGACAGGTTTCGCAGAAGTTAAGTTGATTCAAATCATTGCCATCCATTTTACCAAAATCTACGTGATGCCAAAACTATCTATCCAAGGTCCCATTTATTAGTCGTGCGACATTTTCATCTAACGCTACATGTAGTATTGAGGATGCCTGAGGAGTGCCTCACCGGCAGATTCAGTCAGAGTTCCACTTGGCATCGCTACAACGTCGCTCCAAGAATGAATGCTGAACGCAGTATGATGGGGATCATGATGACAACGAAAGGGCCAATGAAGTGTGGATGCTGGAAACAATAATGGATGCGTGTCGATGGCTGCTACATCAAAGCCTAGTTTAGGTAAAAAAGAAGGTCGGATATGCATTGTTCTACATGTAGCTAATGGACTTGGTAGCGCGGCCGTCAGGGACAGCGTGTATTCCATCGGAGTTTGTGTGTTGTCGTTGACGTAAGCTACAACAAGGGCTTGCAGACATAGACAACTTTCGTGAATTTTCCATCAAATCAACTGGGTACTTAGATAAGGCCATCGTTAGATTTGGACTTGAAGATATTTGCAGAAAAAGATCACGATCGTAAATGCGATTGACTTCAAGTAAAGAGTGTAGTGACTTACCTCAACAGGTTTTATGAAATCTCTACCTCACTTTCGTAATGTTGTCTCATGAATCAGGAAAACAAATGGTCGAGTGTTCCTCATTTCGGCGGTACAAAAGATGTATTCTTTCTTAGTTTGTCTGAATTACTTAAACTCATGGGCCTTTTTTAGACGAATCGCCGCTCTTGACTGGTTCCCCATTCCTGCGTATCTGCACATCGACCTCTGTGACAACTTTGAAAGTATGACAGGATAGTACAACGCCAGTGATCTCTCCATTGCTTCTCAAGATGAGGCGGTCTTGCACATTATTCCGGTCGTTGAGGTGCCTTGTCACAAGGTAACTGTGTGCCCTGCCGGGGGTTTCCCTGTAAAATTCAGATTGGTCGGAAGAATCATAGAATCATCCACAGGTAAACATACTGGCTTTCGTAGACTGTGGAGGAAGGCATTATTGGAGCCGTTTAAGCAAGTCGTGGATATCCGTGCCCCTTTGGTGGTGACTTAAGAATCCGTGGTCGGTAAATGACCGGATCCCGATGGCCACGGGGAAACTCAAACTGCATCTGGAGAGAAATAAGCATGGCATTGGACGTAATATAAAGACTCGGAAGCATCGCAACAATCTTCTTCTGGTCAGCAGTATAATTTTCAGATTCAAATGTGCGAGATGTGCTCTCGCAGTTTAATGTACCATTTCACCTAATAGTCAATTGGACAAATTTACACGAAGATTTCGACTGAATTTCGATTTCGTGAAATTCAAATTGGCTGACACAACTGACCAACCAATCGGTCTTTCATACATCCTTTCAGCAGGTCTAAAAGCACCCCTGCTCTGTGACTACAGGGGAAGTAAGTACGTATAAGCCTCAACAGCGAGCAAACTCCATGCGGCTTCAAGTGCTCTGCGGTGATGGCCTAAGAAACACATCCATTGACGTGGACGAATATTTGGATACCTTTGAAACGGAAAAAGATCAGCTAGGCTACTCGCTCACTTGCAGGCAGCCGCTCACCCGCTTTGCCGTGCTCAGCTACTCACCGAAAACGCCTTGCCAGGCTGTGTGATTCAGGCAACCTGATTCATTGGCCGACTCCGGCCCAATCAGATGTCTTCATACCAAATCGACTGTACTGAGAATGTGCTGACCAATGAAACCATTGGCTCTACCGCTGTGCCACGCTCTTGTCATATTTGGCTGCAAGTCCTGGGTCTCCTAGTCGGGTTGCAGCAAATTGTAACTGAATTTCATACTTTTGAACATGAAAATGGCCCAGTCTTACTCCCGGCTACCACACCTTTGTCATAGGAATTATCTTGTTGACACGTGTTAGCGCGGTATCTTACTTGGTATTTCAAGCGGTTTTCTTTTCTCCTCCCCATTTGTGCTCCTGACAACACACATGTACCACGGCTTCATTCTTACCTTGGCGAACTAGGAAACAAGCCTCCACTTCGTTCCACCTGGTGTTTAAACTTTGGTTCGCAATAATGAATGAAAACAACGAGGCAGCAGTTGAGGGGGTCGCTTCAGCCAAGTGCCCACACGAGCCTACTGCTATATATCGGGGCAAACCGGTCGAAGTTCTCTCAAGGATAGAATTTCGCAGACGAAACCCTCACATCGACGACAATCAGTCAGTGGGGACTATTTCAACTGCATATTCCAAAGCCTATTCTATTTTTTCAGCCCCTAACTTTGAGTTCCACATGCATTCTCCGTCTGCAACGACTCCAACCACATCTCGACCTCAAAGCCCCACGAGGCTGACCACTGCACCGAGCCAAGCCATGGAGCTTGGTCTTGTGGGTATTGGAGAGCATGTCAACGCATTATCCTCAGGCAAGTTCATCGCGGACTTGCCGATTCTCTCTCGAGATCCCCGCCTACCAGAATCTCAACCCCCCCATGACGGCGTTAGTACTCCGACTGGCATCAACAGCGTGGCTGAGACTCCGCTTAGCTCTAGAGAGTCAGACTCTGATTCTGATATTTGTGGCTCTGATTTTGATCTAGAGAGTGCCGCCAACATTGCTTTATCCCGTTGCTTTGGGGTAAGTCTCAACCGGCTCAGTCATTCTGTTCGTGTCATCGAGGCGTTCTCGAAATTTAAAGATCAGTGCGTCGAAATTCTGCAAGAAGAGGAATCATTTTCGACTATTGACTGGGATGACGACGGATTCTCCTGTTATGATGTCGAAGAAGGAGATGCTAGCAACGGCAGTTCGGCCTTTGGCGAGACCTCAAATCGAGCTCAACGATCAGAGTCAGGAACAAAGAAGCGACCGGCTGAAAAACAAGGCGAAGACGATGGCCACGACGAGATGGACGAGAATGCTGGTGAAGACCAGGGCCCAACTAGAAGAGGACGCATCAAGAGACGACGCATCGAGTGTCTTAAGAATTTCAGCTGTCCCTTTAGAAAGCGTAACCCCTGCAGGTTCAATGCTCGGGATTTTGATGCCTGTGCCAACAAATCCTATAAAAGTATGGCGGAATTGAAGTAAGTCTCCAGTGTTCTTGCCATATTCTCACAGCTGTTAGGAAATATGGGATGTTTCTCCACGCCCTCATCTTTGACCAGACCTGACTTGGCACAATTCCATAGGAGACATATCTGCGCTGAGCATGGGAACCAGTCTTGTACTTACTGTGGGCAACCACGAATGGCTACAGACCATCCCCCTGAAGAATGCCTTCGCAACCGGCAGTTGAGATCCAATTCCCACCCAGAAGACCCTGAAGATGGCGTGGACAAGTTCAAAGACAGAACTCTCAAGACCCGTGTTCACGGCCGCAAAATCCAAACTTGGGATCAATTGTGGAATCTGCTTTTCCCCGATGATGAAGAGATACCCCCACAAAGTATGTAGCACTGGTATTATTACGTAAAGTAGAAAGCTGCTAACAAGAATTACTATAGCTTTTGATCCTGTGATCGAACACCACGACATAGCCGTCGCGGGATGTCAGAAGTTTGTCTTAAAGACTGCCGAAGACATCCTGGATCTCATACAAAAAAGTCCTGTTCTCTCAGTACAGGCCCTCCAGGAAACCATACATAAAAGAACGAAAGCTCTTCTCCAAGGCTCCAAGTATGCTAACTATGAGTGTTACATGATGGTGGGAAACAATGACATGATTCAGATGTCAACACCCGCGAAGGGCAGGTCTGTTGTTCCGGGGACGCACGATCAAGTCACAAACGTATTCGATGATGGCGAGTCGCCAGCTGTAATCGTCACACCACAACCTTCTTCGCCACAGGGCGCCGCTGTGGTATCCAATAGTACATCAACCGGTCTGAAGTCTTCTTCAGTAAGTCATCCTACCGGCTTTGTGCAATGGAACCCATACTTACACTCAAACGAAGGTGATCCGTGAACGATTGATTGCACCTAAGACTGAGCAAGTCCTTACGCCAAGTATTTCTCAGAAGGTTAGTTTCGGCCGAACTTCACTCTGTATTAATAAATAACATGTCCAGACTTGTCTAGCACCTGGTGCAGTCATGCAGAATGGATCTCCCACCACTGGAAGTCTTCAAAACCTGAATGCCCCGGATCTGCCTGCTGGAGATATTTTCAACTGGTCAGACGTGGACTTCCTGAGCTGGGACGAGAATTGCGGGTACGAAAATATGTGTATGGAAGGTGCAACCACCGAAGACATTTGGACATCATACATGGCCCCAGACCCAGACCCGACCTCCCAGCCATTTGCAGGTCCGGGAAGTCGCAGCTAGGCCTAACCATCATTTAATCTTTCATCCATTGTGTAGGTAGTCGTACGTAATTATTTCATCTAGTTGCTTTTATAATGGAAGTACTGTTAGTACGAGCCGTCCATGTAACATTCTAGGTCTCCTCGCCTCAACAGCTTTCAGACTTTCTGGCCCCAACCCTGGTCGGCTATCAGGGGCTAACGTAATGTATAAAGAACTTATGTGAAGCCTTAAGGGAGGCATGGATTATGAGATGCCCGCTTATGCAATATTAATCAATTAAATGCAGAGATTACATTATGATAGATCCTCGAGGATCAAGGATGACTGTATATGGACGTGTAAGCTGGACAACTACGTGTAGGCTGTTGAACTAGAGGCGGATAGACAACGCTTTCTCAGAGTCCTTCACGGGTCTATGACTCTCCAGATCTCTCTTCTCCTTTGGTCTTGAGCCCGCATGCCAAAGCCATTTACAAACCGGGCCTGCGGATGTGCACCAGCAGATTGCCGTTACCCCACGCATACTCTTGGCCCTGGACTGTGTTGTCCGCACGAGTGCAGCTGTCCATGATAAGACCGCCGGCGCGGGCAACGTCGTTGCTGTGGCAAAGAAATCAGCATTAGGTATTCCATGTCTAACAACTATTGACGAGAACAGGGGCCAGTTCTTACCAAGCCGAAGAAGTAGAGGCCGCGTTAGTGCCTCCCTTTACACCAGTGATTTGAGCATTTCCAAGGAGACAGAAGACAGAGACAGACGAAACGACGCAGGCCTGGCTGCCCTTACGGGCAAGGTCGTTGATGCAAGATACCGCGTCCGGAACCTGGTTTTAAATATGTCAGCGGTCTCGATTCTATCATGCCAGGGTGCTGCAAGAGAGAAAGAGGCATACGGAGGCTTCAGTGCCGGCAACAGTGTTGCAAGTGACACGCTTCTGGAGAAGGCTGTTGGTCGAAGTGGTGCCGTCAGACTCTGTGGCATTGACAGACTCCCGCCAGGCCTCGACAGCCTCGCTGGGAGTCAGGTTGTCGCCTTCGGGGTTGGCGATAATGCCATCGACCCACTTCGCGAAGGAGAAGACTTCCACCGTATCGGACTGGGTCGCGGTAGGGACAGCTCCAATGAAGGGAGCCGCGGCCAGGACGGCCAGGGTAGAGAGGGCGACGTTGACCATCTTGAAGATTTGAGCGGGCTCTAGACTTGAGTCTTGTGAAGATGAGTGCCGGTGCTGAGGGCGAAAAAGAAGACGTGGGAATCATTTTGGTCTTTTATAGATAATCATGATAGCAGGCAGACATCTCCTTCATGAAGCTCTTCTTTTGGGACAAGCCTCGGGACGGGTCTCGGGACAGCTGCTTGCTTTACCAAAGTTCTTTTCAAAAGCCTCAACCGATATGTGTTCTCCACAAAGCTTGAAGTAAGGTTACATGTAAGCTCACTAAATGCAGGGGTCTCGGTCATGTCGGCTCAGCCTTGTAGGTAAAATGCACAACTATTTCTCACGATGGCCCATCGCAATAATTCTCGACCACTTAGTGGAGAATAATTAGGCATTCCAGACTTCAACGGCCTTGTAAGAGCCGCATAATCAGCGAACAGGGCGCACAGGCTTAAGTGCCCACTGTGCTTCTTTGAATGCATGGAAGACTCGAGATTATGTCGCCTGAAGGTCTATCAGGGGATCATCGAATTGTTATTCTACGAGGACGTCAAGACGGTAGAAGGACCGCAAGCCGCTCCAGCATATTATTCTGACCTCTTACACGTCACAATGGCAGTGTCTATCCTGATCCTTCAGAGCTTAGTCTGAGTGAATGATGTTACATGTCTAGTGCCGTAGAGAAGAATAGGAAGGTCGCGTAAAAACACCCAGCAAGGCAGAAGCTTGAGTCCACTTAGCTTTCGGGAATGCTAACTGAGAAAGATCAACATGCGGTCGGCGAACTATCATATGCAGGGAAAGCGGGCCTAGATATATGGAACTTAGAAGAATGACCCATCAATGGCACTCAATATCAGGAAGCAAAGTCCCTGTTAAAAAGCGAGACGATGTGACCTCTAGTAATTAGATTGCAAGCGTGCTATCAATACGGATACATGGATGGCTTGGTCGGTGCTCTCCTGCGGACTGTAAGACTGGATCACTTTGCAGAGAATGGGGCATCGGGCGGTCGGGCGGCCGCCTCCACTGCCTCAACAACTTTAAGTCCAGTTTGGGAAGTGATGCTGACACTTTTTCACGGTCGCGATACGAAGCAATATGGGGCTATTGCGAAGAAGATGAGAAAGGAGGCTGCCTAAATTTTCATACATCGGAAAGCACCACATTGTGGAGTGCGACTACATTGTCAAGGTGCTTGACGCAGTTTATAACAGACATAAGACGACGTGGGAGGGCGGGGCCGACAAGTCTTTGGAAGTATTCAGGCGGTGTAACCGATCAAACGGGACTTTCGAGAACTAATGCCAATGCCGTTGAGCCTAGACTTTAGACTTTTTACTTCCTAGGAAAGTCTTGGCAAAGTCTGCCGAATTCGCTTATGATGGTATTGATTGCTGGTGATGAAATATGAGCTACTTGCTTCCCTCCTTCGAAGCAATCGCAGACTTGATGTGCAGCTCAAAATCCCCATCCTGCTCAGCAAAGAAGCTACGACAACATTAGCCCTCGACCCACAATCTCGCAAGAAACAGACCTCACTAACCTTCGAATCATGAAATTGACCCTCTTGATGCTCGTCAAATTAAGCGGCGCAGTATCATTTTGAACCCTCCCGCGGAAAGTAGGCACAAACGCGCTAAACGGCATCACCACCTTCTCAACCGCGCCGTCCGTGTGATTTACAGCCGGGATCTGGAAATCAAACTCCCAGCTCACGCCAGACTGCTCCACGCCATTCACTGGCGGCGGCACCGTATCCTTTAAGTTGAACGTGTACTTTTTCCCGTCCGTGAACGGGATCTCGAGGGTGATGGTGTCGTACGCCGAGATGTCGAGGCTCGGCCAGTCGTCGACGGTGCGCTGAGACGCGAAGCCCGCGCCGCCGAGCGTCGCGTAGTCGAGGTTGCCGTGGAAGTTTGCAATCGACTGGGCGAACGGGTTGCCGGCGGCGCCGGCCTCGATAATGTCGAGGGTGGAATGACTCGCGCCGTTGCGGACCGTGTCGTCGGAGGCGATCCACTGGCTCTTGTCCCAGGGCGTGAAGAGGGCTGCGGAGGCCAGGGCACGGAAGGCGACGGGGATGTGCATGGTCACTGGCGGGCGGGCGAAAGAGAGAGGTGGTGATTGATGAAATGCCTGGTGTGAGGAAACGAGTGACGAGGTCGGATCAGCAGTGGGATTGCGGGATGGTGTATGAATACCAGATGGCTGGGCACGTCGCTTATTTAACGCTGGATCATCGTCATTTTCCGCGTCCGCTTGTCATGTTTATTAAACTTTTGTTGCCAAGATTTACGCTCCTTTCTTGCTTGCCCCTCGGAGCAATGAAGCGCTCCGGAGCAGTCCATCGTGGGTTAAATTTATAAGGTAAACTCTATTCTCGCGTTGTCAAATCCCAGGCTGGCGGTTCACTCGAATTGTGGAGAGTATCCAGCACTGAAGTGTCATGGATCTGGGATCTTCGCTTTCGTGACTTTTGTCAACAGTAGACGAACACAGCCGCCAAGCGCGCCGGTAGTGCCGAGGAAACCAGGGCATGTCAATTGAGCCCCCTATGGAACCCCTATAATGATGCGTCTAAGACATTCGCTTGTCGATTGGTTCAGCCCTAAGCAGTGATACCAAAGGCATTCCTCGGGAGGTCGGACGATGTTGGCGGGCGGGAAACTGATGATGTGCAGACGTCAGAGTAGGTTTCTTGTCAGTGAATGCCAAGAAGCGTGTTCGTCGACGCCCTGGCCCTTGACTGGTCATGCCACTGTCATCAGTCACGTATGGCCAAGAGAGAATCAATGGTTATAACATAATCCCATGCTATTTGCTGGTTGTTTTCCTATCGTACAATACCCAGGCTATGACCTCGAACCGTCCAACCGCCGGATCCTCCCGGATGAGCCTGAATGAAAGAAAGTCGTTCCTCATACCAAACCATGATGAAAGTTAGAGCCTCCCGCTCATTCCAAAGAAAACACAAAACTTTTGATTGTCCCGAACCTTAAGAAACAGAACCTTGAAACCACAAAACTGACTCTCACACCTCAAGTTAGTACTGATGTTTGGGCCTTTACCATGAAAAGGCTCAAATGAGAACCAAGGCTAGCTAGATCTTCACTAGCGACATGTTGAGACTAGATTACTCTTCAAGAGTTGTCCTGAGTCTTGTGAGCGCGACGCTCTTTACGGTCACGAGTCTTGCCACGGCCGCCGCCACGACCTTGACCGTGACCTTGAGCTTGACCCTGAGCAGGGTTATGAGCAGTGTCTTGAGTATGTCCCTGAACATGGCCCTGAGCATGACCCTGGTTCTTGCCACGACCGCCGCCACGACGACCGCCGCCACTACCATGGGCCTGACCTTCAACGTGAACCTGAGCACGGTCCTGAGTATCGTTCTGAGCGTGGCCATGAGCACCGCCATTACCACGACCGCCACCACGACCACGGCTACGAGTCTGACCACGTCCGCCGCCGTGAGTTCGATCAACACCGCCGTCATGGCCGTGAGTGTCCTCAAGGGTAGCATCAGCGATACCGCCACCGCGCAGGGCTTGGGCACGTTTAGGCTGGCGGTTGCCAGCCTTGTGGTTGCGTTGAATCTCAACCATGTTATCACGATCACGGCCTCCTCCGCCCTTGCCACCTCCGGCATGGCTAGTCTTGTTCTTGGCCTGCTTCTTGGAAGAAGCACGCTGGCCGAGGTCATTCTGGCCAGTGATCGGGTGAACCTTAGCGCCGGGAATAAAGCTACGGTACTGAGTGGTGCTCTTGCGCTGGACCTGCTCGACGATGGCGCGGAGGCGGGCGATGCGGGTGCGGTTGTCCTCCTGCTCCTCAACGAAGGGGAAAAGCTTGATGCGGTCACCGATCGAGCACATGTTGTCGACACGACCGTTTCTGATGTTCTTCTGCTGCTTGGTCGAGTTCTCGAAGACGAGCTGATCAGTGATGAACAGCTTCTTGGCGTGGTCAAATCTGACGTACTCGCGGCCGATGATGATCTCCGACTCTGAATCCCAGACAATGTGGCGAGAGACATTCCACTCCTCAATGAACTTGGGACTCATGATGTTCCAGAAATGCTGGACGAGAGATGGGGTGTTTCTGGTGAACCAGTAGAAGCTCTCCGAGATGGCATGTCTGATGAGGTGCTCATCATCGTGACCGGTAGAGAAGAGGTCAAAGGCAGCCATGTAGTCGAGCATGAAGTCGACGTGGTACATCGTGTTCCAGTCGGAATCCTCGTACTTGAGGGTGGTCCAGTTCTTCTTGGTACGTGCCAGCAAGGTCAGGAACATGTGTCTGACAATGCAGAGAAGCGAACGGTGAAGGAAACGATCGCAGAGAATACAGACCTGAGCCATGGTCTTGAGCTTGATTTGAGGAATCTCCAAGTGAGCTCGCTTGAAGGCCTCGGGATCGTTCGCGTAGATGAGATCATCGAACAGAGAGAAGGGAACGACCTTGCTACCGAAAGACTTTATCTCAAAGTACCAGCCGTGAGTGAGTTGAAGGTAGAATTTCAGAGCCTTGGACTCGATGTCATCGAAGAAGATCTCCTGGTTGTGGGACTCCTTGAAGAAGCCGAGGAGACAGGCATCGAAGTACATGGATCCCGCGGTGATGACCTCGCGGAAGACAACGAAGATGGTGTCGCCACAGTAAATGTGGACGAACTCATCCTCACAGCTATCACAGGTATGTCAGAGCACGCCCAGGGATGAGATCGGGTCAACTTACATGTCGAGGATCTTGTTGCTGTCGCCGGCTGCAACAGCTTTCTTGTTGTGACCCTCGATCATCGGGCGCGAGGTAATGCGGTAGTCGATGACCTTTTCCATTTTGAGCGATGATTCGAGCGGCAAGCTGTAGTGTGTTTGGTGTGAACTAGGTAATTCGGGTATGTAGAGAGAGATGAACACAACGGCGCGGATGGGCGGTAGAGATCCGAATCCGCAGTAGATAATGCTGAAGAGAGGAAGCAGAGGGAAGATTGCGTTGGAACGAGTTGTTTCGTGGGATTCCCCTCTATCCTGAGGTGTTGTTTTTGGGAGAAGAAAAGAGAAGAAGGTGGGAGTTGACGAAAGAAGAGCGTGTACCTTCCTTACAATGCCGTGTTGAAAGGCAACAAGAGGTAGGCAAGGTCAGAAGCCCTAGAAAGGGAAATAGGTCCAAAAGAAGCGTTTGGGGCGTGGATAAGTGAATTATTTTGATCTTTGCCCTGTCCAAGGCACATGGTGTGAGAGGCGTGAAGTCAGAATTGCTCATAGAAAGTGGTCAGACACGGTGCCGTAGCCTTCCGAGTTGGCCCCACTTATCGCCGAAGTGACCTCCGGTAGGCTCCGTACAGTCTCAGGAACCACCTTTGTGTAGTCCGGGATGGAAAGAACAAGGCGATGGGCTAGTTATTATTGATTGATTAGGGAGCTTTGAGACAAACAAAACACTGCAACACTTATGAGGGAAGGAGCGTAGCTTCCATAAGCCGTTTGGGTTGCTGCCACTGGCAAAGCACTCGCGGGGTATGATGAGTCCGAGATGCTGGAAATCACCGGATATTAAACTCAAGAGACGTAACACTGGCAGACCATATCAGGGTTTTCCCATTAATCAATGACCAGGTATGGATAGCTCTGCCCCATCATAAGGTCAGCTTATCTTCAGTTGATCAAACTTAGGGAAGACTGCTTTGCTTGTTGAGGGTCCGAAGTGTATTGTCCGTCCCCCAGAACTTTGAATGAGATACGAGGCATCCCTCTCCGAAGCGGTTATGGAACTTGGGAGACAGCTCTAGGGCTTTGTTACGCTTCTCAAGGCCTTCCCCTATGCTCTTTTTTTCCCTTTGACTTGTTCTCAAAAGCAGACTGGAATCAATAAAGTTGCTTGGGGTACGTATCTGAAGGAAGCCGATTTTACTGTGTGTACGTCTCGACCAGCGCCGCGCCACACTGTGAGGGGAGCACCATCCCTCCACTTCCTTTCCAACACTTGCCTTGACGAAATGGAAGAACAATCTGGAAGCTGACTGTCTCTGTATGTCACTTCGTCCGAATCATGAAGTCGCAACCGCCCAGTGGCAGATTTGCCTCCTTCTGAAAGCTACCTTACTTTCTCGTTGGCTCTTGGGGGATCAGGTACATCCGTGTACTAGCAGTTGAGTCAGCCGCTTACGATTGAGTCACCCAAGTCCAAGTACCATCATCTCCCATCACTCGGGTCGCCGTCCGAAGCATTGACATCCCCAATTCATATTGAACGACTCCTCCAAGATTCATGCCAAGTATCGTTCAGGATACTTGAACGATACAGCGACTTTATTTTGGTGGTATCTTTGTATCACTTCTCACGCTCGTTGCCCAAAGTTCGCCTGCAAACAGCGACGTTAGCCAAGGTATGAGTGTCGCACCTTTCGCCGTGAATGGAGGCTAAGTAGTGCAGACTAGAGCAAACTTTCTCTGGCCATCTGGCCCGTCATTATCGCAATGGGAGGCTCTGCCTTCGCATCTGGGGATGACCCTCTAGACACACCACGAATGCCCGCCACAGTGTACGAACGAGCCAAGGCCGGATGTTTCGCTGCATTGCGGGAGCTGTACCTCTGTGTCGCTAGCCCTATTGAAGGACCCGAGAAGCAAGACTATGGAGATATCGACATCCTAGTCACTTGGGAGAGAGCACCTTTCGTCGGGAATTGCGGTGGGAAGAGAGCACCAAAGCCAACTCCTAGACGACAAGAAGAACGGGAAGATGACGAAGCGTGGTTCGAGATGGCCAATGACTATGGCGAGGGACAGGAAGGAACACCGGGCCATTCAATCATGTCTAAAGACGAGGCACGCAAGGTCATCTTTGCCGCCCTCGGTGCCAAGCGCTCCATCTACAATTCCGGGGGCGACAACTATGCCATCCCATGGCCGGTGACAGATAAGGAGATGGTTGCAGATGAACCGAAGCGGTTTATCCAAGTCGACGTAACCATCTGCAGTTCACTTCAGCAACTACAATGGCTTCTATTCAAGCACGCCCACGGCGATCTTTGGATCATCATGCAGACCATCATTCAACCACGCGGGTTGACTGTGGACGACTACTCCATGTCACTACGGAACAACGATATTGAAAGGTACGAGAGATACAGCAAGAAGTGGCCCAAGGTGCATGTCTCGAGGGACCCTGCCGAGGTACTCGTCTTCCTGGGCCTTAATGTGGAAAGGTTCTCGGAGCCCTTTGCGACTCGTGACGAGATGTACGAGTACATTGCATCCTGTCGGTTCTTTTGCATCGAGACCAATTACGGCCGACACAACAACCCTGACCCAACGAACCCGGAAATGATCATGGAGCCCAAGGAGTCAGAGGGCAATGATAACAACAAGATGGACACTGGCACCGCGGGAGAGCCCGCGACGAAGAAGCTCAAGAGTAAGAGCAAACAGCGCTTGATAAAACGCCCTGCCTTCCGCCAATATTTTGACGAATTTCTCCCACGCTGCCGAGCAGAGGGACGGTACGCGGGACGACCCGATCTATATTACTGGGACGTTCACCAACAAGCCTTTGCGATTTGGGGCAACTTTCAACCCATGATGTCGCGCCAATGCATGCGGCTCATCATAAACCTCGGGGAGGACAGGGTCCGGGCAAAGATCAAGGAAGTCTGCCAAAGATTGGTTCCCGGGACCGATGCTAAGGACAGCCAGTACCGCGGCTTGCTGAACAAGGCGTTTAAGAAGATCATCATTGATGGTGACCTGTCATATGGTGTGAAGCCAGAGGAGAACGAGGAGTTCAGGGACAGTATAAGTCAGATGATTAAGGACCAGCCCGAGAAGTTTATCTTCAAGCATCACGAGGAGGTTGGGAAGGCTGCTATAGCTGAGCACGAGCGGAAGTTTGAGGAGCATAAGCGCTTGAAGGAGCAGCAGGCCAAGAACATACTCTGAGGCCTGGTATGGATGACTCTGTATTTCAAAGATACCACTAGCATTATTGGGGACAGAGGCAGAAACTCTGCAATTGAAGCTATTCCCAACACGACCTCTCCCATCTTTCCAAAGTTGCCTTTTCCCTCCTTGTCTTTCCACACAGTTCAAAGCCCTTTCAACCATCCGTTAGCCCCCGTGACTTGCTCCCGCCTCTGACAGCACAACAGTCTTCACATCGTCATGGCGATGCAATGCCACCCACGACCACCCACCCACCTCCTCAGCCGCATCTTTACTCTACCCTATGTCAAGCCGCAGTAGGGCAAAGGTGGTCTGCTCTTGTTCAAGCCCTAATGAGGCTATCACAAGGGCCCCACGTCTGGAATATCCTTTCTACCTCCCTTGGTGTGATCCTTCATTTCTCTTTTCCTTTTTCTTTTCTTCTTTTCTTCCTTTCTTCACCCTCACTATCACATCTACTATACCAGTCAGTCAGCCCTTTACACCTTAATCACATTCGTCCACGAATACGAGCGAACGAACCGAAGAAGGGGGATGAATACTAATCATTTGTTCTACTCTAGATAACTATAAAGATGGCCTCCTCCTCCAAAAATCCCACCACCACCACCTCCACCTCCTCCTCCTCCTCCTCCACCACGGCCCCCATCGACATACCTGGGGCCGCGACGGACCGCAGCGCAGCCTTCAGGCGCGCAGAGGCGGCCCGTCGCGCCTCAGGTGGGGGCCACGACTCTGGCTCCGACGACACTTGGGGAGACAGTCTGGCCGGTCGGGCGCCCTAGGAAGGCCCCCGCCGCTGGACTGTCTCCCACCCCGGGGGATTCTCCCCGGAAGAGCTGAGCGCCCAGGCGACACGGTCGCGCCGAGGAATCGGCACCGATCCCTCTTGGATCGTGAGTATTTATGCCCCTTTCCTTGATCCCTTCCTCCTCTACCTCTTCTTCACACCTACGCCTCGCCTGTCTCGCTTTGCGTATAGGTATACTGATACATATATCAACAGGACCCCGCCGGCCGCCTCCGCCAACTGCCCCACGGCACCCGCCTCCCCTCGCCCGTCCCCCTCACCGAAGAGGAGATCGACCGCGCCCGCAACTCCGGAGCAGGACCTCTCATCCCATACCCGCGCCGCTCGCCCTCACCCGGCTCTCGTCCCGTCTTCGGGCCGATTACCTACCAAGAGCATCTTCGGATCGCCTTGGCTCATCACAGAACGTACAGCGTCTTCATGGGCTTCCCTGCCGACATTGGCGTCTATGAGCCACCCAAATAAAGCCAGTCACGATTCCCGAATCTCCGACTTTCTTTTACATAAAGGAGGATTACTCGTTCCTCGGTGGTTTGGTACATACCTTACCTGACTTATACCACGACGCAAAGCCATTGATGATTCTGGTTGTGGTATGCTTTCAAGGACAGGTCTTTGCGAAATTCGGTTTTCTTTTGGTCTGCGATAGGACTTTTCAAATGGTTACGGCAGTGTATTCCTGAAGGCTCGATGGTTGATTGAGAATGGTCATACTACAACGGACGTCTTTACGACAACTGATGGAGAGACATCCAACCCCTTTACCCACGGCATCACCGACCTGGCTCTTACACATCCACCAACCTTTCACGTCCGTCTTCTTTTCGTTTGCGTTTAGGACTTTTCTTTCAGTTTTTTTTTAGATGGTTCATGGGATTTTGTTACAGGGAGGAGGCTGAGTGGAACTCTCGAGTTTGGGAGTTGGTCAAATCACAACGGACGTCTGGCAAACGACTGATGGGAACGATCATACCTCTCACAATACCTCTACATACGGCACCGCTTTTACGACTTACATACACCCGTGGACATCTCATGTTTCCTTCCCACGTCTTTCACGCCCCCTTTCGACTTTATTGCGTTGGACATGGAAAGCCCAAAGAGGAAGGATTATGTTATGGGCTTACGGCTTTACATGATCTTGGACCGCCTCACGTCTCTCACGACTCGGACAGCATATCGCGTTTGCGCAGGAAGGACGATGGAAAGGGATGCTAGGGCCCAATATACCCCACGTATGTTTTCGTTTTCGTTTTTAATGGGAGAAAAACCGGGACTCTTGACACTTAGATAGATGGCTTCATTGGCTTTCATCAAGGAGACGTTACCTGGCTATGCTTACTCTTCCGCAAAGCGCGATGTCATGTTGATCTCTCTACTCGTGATTCTGTACTCTCCGAAACTTGCCTGCGACGAGCGGGATAAGATCCGGAGATATGTGATGTCACTAGACGCAAGTATCCTTTAAGGGATTGTAGTCCTTATATCTCGGTGAGCCTCGCTTCTTGGCGACGCCCTTGAACCGATCTGCAAATCCCACCTGGCACAACACAGCCCGGCCTCGGCCCTTCGCCTGGCTGCACTTGCCGCCATATCGAGAACCTACTTTAAGCAACCAAGACAAAATTGCTTCAACCCCTTAAATAGTGGCTTGCAAAAGCAAAACGCCGCAAAGCTAGAACATGCAAAAGGGAACCCCCAGTGCCGCGTTCCCGCAGCGACCACAAGCATCCCGAGGAGCTGTCGGATTTCTAAACTCAAATCAAACGATCCCAGTAGAATTTCTCCCATACCAGCGATCAAACATCCAGCCACACATCACTCTGTACGACGCTGGCATGTGGTGTCTCAAACACCTGGCTTACCTAGCTCACCTAGCCCACACCCTCAGCCCTAGGAAAAGGAAGTGAATTAACTCCGGATGGATCCTGCGCACAGGTTTCCGCACATCGTCCCCGACGGAAGGACGCCATCACTGATCAGAGGTTCCCCATAGACCGTCGTCGTCGCGAAGATGGGTCGGGGACGAACAAATCCACCACCTCGCAACAAGAGCAGTCCCAGCCTTCGCCTCGTCCATCAACCATTAAGCCGTTCGCCCGGCTAGCTCAATCGGTAGAGCGTGAGACTCTTAATCTCAAGGTTGTGGGTTCGACCCGTAAGTGCTTACGAGCTCTCTAGTCCAGGCATGAGCTGCCCAGCTAACACATTCCAGCCACGTCGGGCTCAATTCCCGTCAGCGATTGACATCAAATTCTTTTTCTTTTTTTACCCATCGGCTTGCTTTCGGCTTGCTTTTTCGCCCATGGTTGTGTGCCCCACTGACGCTTGAGGAGACCAGGATCGTCGGCAAGGCGTTGAATAACGGAGCCGAGGACAGGCGTCTGGGAAGCTACGGGTTGGCGGGCGTTGACAGTCGCTGGATGTTCGACAGTCGGTACTCGATAGAATGGATGTGTAGGAAAGTAGGAAAAAAGTTTGCTGTTGCCGCCGAAATGAAATAGGAGGGAAAGGTCCATCTTCTGGTAAAGCATGGTTGCGCATGTGTCCACCTGGAAATGTGCTGTTGGCTTGTAAATGTCAAACGACGTTGAAGTTCTGCCTCGGCAACCAGGTCTGAGTGGCTAGCGACAGTGACACAGAAAATTGAAAGCCCGGTTTAGGAGAATCCAAATTGGGCTCATCAAACCCCAACATGTCGCTGGAGATGGGGCGCTAGTAAGCAAAGGTGCAGCAGGATGCCCATGCCATCCTGCCAGGGGTAATGCGAGATATTGCTTTTCATGCCACCAAGAGATCACAAGCGGTGAGACAGCTAAGATCCAATACCGGGATGGATGGCCAGGCCAGGTCTTCTGTCCAACGACTGCAAAAAGCATGGCGTCGAGAAACTGCCCGACGGGTTGGTTGCCAGTGCCAGCCACAACGTTTTCGCAACGCGGACGGTTGTTCTGGTGAAGTTTGATTTTTGGGGGCCGGGACGTGCTGTCAGCGGGATGGCGGAAGCTATCCGGACGACAGGCTCAAGCTCCGAGGCACTACGGAATGGTGAGCTCCAACAGCACGGTACGTACAATGTGTAAGCATCATGGAGACGGTTGGCTGATGGCAGGAGAGTGCGAAGTAATTTGCCATCATGGAATCATTTTCCATTGTTCATTTTAGCCCAACAAGCGGTGTCAGCGGTCTCGAACCAGTCAAACAGAGTTGCCAACGGTATCACTGGCTGGCTGGCTGGCGGGCAGGCGGGCGGGCCATTTGAGGTGCATTCCTGATCAGTTGAGGACCTTGAGGCTTGAGGTATTCCGTCGATGGGGGAGTGACAGGCAGTGCCTTGCATATCAACAGGGGCCAGTAGGTCGTGCGCTGAGCACCGGGGATCCGAGCCGCTCTGCCCCCCTGTACTGTGGCTTTCGATATTTAACACTGGCTAGAATCGTGATAGGTTGTTGTTGACACCGAGCTGAGGCGCTATGGCTCTTCCAGGCCTCCAGATAGCCTGTACATAGAAAGTCGGTAAATGCCTGGCTCGCATTGTTTGGATAGAAATCAGCGGATGACTTGGAGATGATGACATTTGCAGAAAAGTCGACAGGCAGAAATGAGGCGCCTGCGAGACGTGATCAAATTTGCTGATGCATCTGGATAATGTGCCCCCGGGGAGTGCTGCCATGTCACCGAGACAGGATTCCTGATAGCCGGAGTTGCTCACGGGAGCAAGTCTTTGTGCTGGGGACTTATCTGCACAGAGTACCTCGCCCTTGTGCATGGCTGCATATGCAGGCTGCACGTCTGAGGGAACCTGGGGGGGGGGGGGATCTTGGTAGTCCAGCTTTCGGGATTCCCACACCAATCGTTGATTGGGGTCCTCCGGTGTGATGGTGCACAAGAATATGCTAGGTCTCTATTACGGTTTGCTGAACGCAGAACGACGCATGCATCCCGTCACCACATTCCCAACACAGCTGTATGTCGGTAACTACCACACCAACTCAAGCAGCGCCAGCCGAGCCGCAGCCCTGTGAGTCAAAACGAGATACTACATTGCACAGAAGAAGAAGAAACAACTTGTATTCTCGTGACTCTCGTGTGAAAGCCAATGGGCATGGTGATAAATGCCACATTCATTTGTGCGGCTGGAAATGCCGTCGGCCAGAGCGAAGTCTGCTGCGCAACCGGTGGAAAAGCAGACATAACCGGATGGCGACCCTGCCGGGATTCTTTGCGCCCCAAGGCCATGAATACGACAGCCAGCGATTCGGCGGGCGCTACGGAGTATTGACCGTCAGATACGAAGTGCTCTTCTAAAAATTGGAGTTTTGAGAGTTCGCCGCAGCCTCCTGCTTATGAATCCAGGCAGCCTGTCCGGTGAGTGTAGTCTGTGGATGATGGATTAGGAATGCGGCTTGTGCAACAGGTGTGCATGGTATCGGTAGGAGGCTCCAGGCATCATGGGCCGAGGCAGGCGGAGCAGTCGACATGGTTTAAAGGTCCGCAACTCCCGTCCGCAAGAGATGATGCCGACTTGGGGCCCATCTCCTTAGAAATCCCCACGGATCCGCGAATACGCTCGCGCCATCTTTCGACGCTGGCTTGTACGAGTGAAGCCGTTTCCAGTGCACCACACCGGTCCCATTGTTGCTTGGGGCATCACCTGGCCGGCGTTGAGAAACAGACAGACAGGGCGTGACAGGGTGCGTAGGTTGGACAAGCAAACCGGCCGGTTCGTTGGCCTGGGCATCTGGAGCTTGGTGTATCCACCCCTTTCTTGCATCTCATTCCAGATGTTGCAAACACCTGGAACCTTGATGGGCATCTGAGTCAAGACAGAGACCTCAACAGTTGATCCAAATATCTACCGTCGAGCTGGTCGCACGCGAGGCAGAACGTCTGTTTCCATTCGTTACCTTTTCTCTTTTCTTCATTAGGCATTGGACAGTAGCAGGCCCAACGATATCGGTGACGAACCCATCATCAGCCGGTGAAACAAACATCAACCGGAAGGATACAGCGACATCGACAGCGTGTGCTTGATTGCCGGGTATCTCGTCCGCCACGGACACACGGTAACCGGGGTCTGAGAAGCGTAGCACCGCGCTTGGGTAACACGAACTTCTGCCCTCGAGACCTTCTCTTCTTGTCTTCACGTCACTTCTGTGCTTCGTCTTTAGCCAGCGAAAGCTCTACCGCCTTCGGCATTCGACTGGATTTCGAAGGATCACGATCCCATATCGCAGTGTACTCGAGCACGGCTGTATAGCTGCCCGAGGTTGTTCTTCGTTGGCGGTGGCTTGTCAAACGGCACATAGGGAGACGACCAGAGAAACCTGTGGACAAGACCGTCCGGAGTTCCAGCATAAATTGCCTTAGGTTTGAGGCAACGTAAAGCAGACGACAAAGAACGAGGCGAATTGGGACGAGGGAGCGAGACTCAAGGAGAAGTTCTTGCAGAATCGGAGACGCGTCGTCCCTGTCCCTGTCATCCCGGGGTTTGAAGTGTCGTGTTCAGTGTGGTGTTACACGAAACACTCTGTTCGATTTTCGGCTCCGGCCGCCACACAAGCATCTTGCAAGCTCTCAGCCAGCAACAACAGCAGCGGCAGTGTCAGCAACAGACAGCAACAGCACCTCAGCAGCCAGCAGCGACTGTTACCTTAGCTTACTGAGCACCAACGCAGGGCGAGCGGCAGATAAACGACGGGAGAGACCTGAGTGTTTTGCTGCGGGATTTGCATCACCCATTTGCGCATTTCCCCCGCCAATTCCCCCCCCACGCCTGCGCGACCTGACGGGACCATTGCATTTCGGGAGAGAATTTTCGAGGTACCTACTTGCCTTACCTGTACAGGTTTCGGGGAGAGGAAGGAGCCGACTGGCTGACGTACAGCGACTCTGTGCCTGCCCTTTTTGCAAGGTACCTTAACCACACGTTACCTTTCCTTTTACCATTACCAACAGACTGAAGGTGTAGAGGAAGGTACATTAGACTGAACCCAAAGGTTGTTTCCCTCTTCTGCGAAGGTACCTTGCCTTCTTGCCTTCAAACTTCCCGGGGTCCTTCCTCATCAGAACGGTGAACCGAAAAAGAGAAGGTACCTCAACCCTGCAGTTACCAGCCAGTTCTGCCCTCCCTCGTCTGAGACGTTCTCGCTCCAGCGAGAGCAGTTGGTTCACGTTCCCTCCGCTTAGACGACAGTGCTCAGCTGCCTTGCATCAACTCGACGCACGCGGCACGCATCTACATTCTCTCACCCCAACAGAAGGAACCTGGCACACCTGCACGTCTTGAACTGCAAAGAACAAGGAGAAGGGTCAATCATAGGAATTGCACTTGCACTTTCTTGATCTTACCATAAGGCAAGGGACCTTACCTTACCTTGGGCCAACCCCCTTCTTCTTTACCCTTCCGTCTTGTAAGGTACGGATAGTCAGTCCTACGGTCCTCCCCCCCCTTCCCCTTTCCCATCGACTGGGATTGGGTACCTGCTCCTTCCCTTTGCACCTGCAGCAAACACGTCCCCGGAACGCGGTGGTTACTCTTTAATATCGACACTCGGCACCTACTTCTTCAAAGCTTTCTCTTTTCCACCGTCACCTTTTGAATTGTCTTTCTAGAGACGAAAAAAAGGCAATCTAGATCTTGCTTCGACTTGCATCATTCGGTCTCCTGCCGGCTTGCATCATCCATCCTACCTCTCCATCGCCAACTTAACTTTAATCTTCACCTGGAAGCAACCATCGAAACGCACTTCTGCCCGCTCAGGTCCACCCTGCGCACGACGACGCATCCCTCTTTCATCGTCACCCTTGTTTCTTGAGCCCGCTTCCTCCTGCAAGCTGCAAGCTCTTTGCCTTGGCTGGGTGAAAAACTAAAACTTGGGGAAGGAAACGAAACAGAACTCCGTCTGGCAGGCAGCCCTTCCCGTCTTCCCCGTCTTGCATCATCCCTGTTGAGGCACGCTCCAAAGGTCTAGACATCAGATCACCCACAGCTCCATCCATCCCTGGCCAAAGCTCCCCCGGTATCCCTCTCATCATACACCCGTCACTTGTCTTTCCCCCCAGCACCTAGCAATCTCTTCAACTTTCATTTGTCGGGAACACCAGCTAGCCGCCTCTCGATTTTTGGTGAATCCATCAACTACCTAATCCGTCCACCCCCTCAAGCTCTCTCTAGCCAGTATTCGGTCGTCCTGCGGATCTACGGTTACTCCACACGTCCTCAGTACCGTCTGCCGCAATGGCGTCCCTCGAAGAGCTTCTCGATAGCCTTCACTACCTCTATCCGGCATTGGCCTTCACTTATTTTGCAATTGCTTCTGCTGTTGCTGTGTGCACTCTTCAGACTTTGCGGGCAGCCAACAACCCAGGCAAAGAGTTCATCCCTCGATCATGGATTCTCAACCTCATCGTTGCCTTTGTCCTCACCTACGTCGCCCAGATTGCCGTCATCGCCATTCAGTCAATCATCCTCCAAGAATGGATTGGCCAGGAACATGAAGTTATTGGCTTGCTTTCCTGCGTTCTTGTCTTTGGTACCCAATTGGCCTTCCTCTCCGACACAGAACATCCCGTGTGGACACCGTACTGGGGCTCGTGGCTCATTTCCTTGGTTTTCGAGCCAATGATTGGAGTACCAGATCTCATCATCCGACGCTCCAGCACTTTTGAACACTGCCGCATCGCTCATCTTGTCTTCGCTGGTCTCCGCTACTATCTGCTTCTTACTATTGTTTCTGTCTACGTTGTTCAGCGTATCCGAGCTAGCCAGGAAGAAGCCACAGATGAAGAACGACAATCTCTTCTCGGCCAAGATGACCCAAAGTCGCGATTGAACAGCTCAGGAAACGGCAGCCAGAGCTCTACTTCCACGTATGGAACGACAAGTGATCCGCCAGAGTCGTACTGGGCCGAACGCCAGCGAAAGGCACAGGAGGAGATGGAGAAACGCCTTCAGGAAGAGGGTAACTGGCTGACGTACATTAAGGGCTTCGGCGTAAGTTTTTGAACCTTCTCGTTGCTCTTCGATCACCTCATATGTCCGTAGCTTGCCTAACACCACTCTAGATTTTGTTCCCCTATATCTGGCCTGTCGGACAGAAGTCCCTGCAACTACGCCTTGTCCTTGTTGGCCTCTGTCTCCTCGCCGGCAACGCTCTCAATCTCTTGATCCCGCGTCAATTCGGTATCATTGTCGATGAGCTCAAGGACAGGAATTTCAGCAGTGCCTGGTACGGAGTTGCGATCTATGGCTTGCTCAGAATCGCTGCTTCAGACGCCGGTATCGAGTTTCTGCGAGAATGGCTTTACCTTCCCCTTGAAGTATACGCCGACGGGGCTCTGAGCACAGCAGCCTACCGACACATCTTGAACCTCTCAGCCGACTTTCATGATTCAAAGAGCACATCTGACATCAGCCTGGCCATGTATGGCGGTTCAAGTGTTTCCGACCTCCTGGAGTCTATCTGCTTCCAAGCTCTTCCCATGTTGATCGACCTCGTCGTTGCCATTGTCTATCTCTCGGTTATCTTGGGACCCTACGAAGGTCTCATCACCCTGGCAACCAGCACACTTTTCTTGTTCATCGCTACGAAGATGATTGCTGTGATGAAGGAACGCAGACGGGCCCACGTGAACGCCCAGTACGCCGAGCACTACGTACGCCAGACTGGAATTACGGGTTGGCATACGGTCGCATCCTTCAATCAGACGACGTACGAAGATGTGCGCTACTCTAACGCAATTCACACCCGCATCAACTGGACTAAGCGTGTACGTCTCGGGTGGTTTACTGCGCAAGCGTTCCAGTCTCTGGTTCTCCTCTGCGGTCTTTTGGCTGGTGCGATTCTGGCTGTGTACAGGATCAAGAACAGCAAGGCCACTCCCGGTGACTTGACAATGCTCTTGATGTACTGGGCACAACTCACGTCTCCACTGCGGTTCATGGCCAGCCTCGGAAAGAAAATTGGAAGTGATTTGATCGATGCCGAGCGACTGTTGGACATCATGAAGAAGGAGCCAACAATTGTGAACAAGAAGGGGGCCCGTCCCCTGAAGCTTGTTGGTGGCAACGTCGATTTCAATGATGTGAGCTTCACCTACGATTCCAAGAAGAAAATCATCAACAGCATCTCTCTTTCTGTTCCCGGCGGCCAGACGGTGGCCTTCGTTGGTGCTACTGGTGCCGGCAAGTCCACCATGTTGAAGCTACTCAACCGTTTCTACGACGCTAGCGAGGGGTCCATCTTGATTGATGGACAGGATGTGCGCGACGTTGACTTGCACAGCCTCCGTGACCGCATTGGCTTGGTGCCGCAGAATCCTGTGCTTTTCGACGACACGATCATTAGCAACATTCGGTATGCGAGAATCACCGCTTCTGACGACGAGGTCTTTGAAGCCTGCAAGGCCGCTTGCATTCATGATAAGATCATGACTTTCACCGATGGATACAACACGCGAGTTGGTGAGAGGGGAATGTAAGTAATCCCAGTGTTTGCGAAAAGACTGGCTGCTGACCAAAACCAGCAAACTTTCTGGCGGTGAGCTCCAACGTGTTGCTATTGCCCGGGCAATTCTCAAGCAGCCCGAGATTGTGCTTCTGGACGAGGCGACAAGTTCAGTGGACACCGATACAGAGCAGAAGATCCAGCAGTCATTCATGCAGCTCTGCAAGGGACGAACCACTTTCATTGTCGCGTATGTATTCCGTTTTATCCAAGCCTCTACTGTTCCCCTATTTGCCACTGCGCCATTGAGCTACCGGGCCCACATGCTAACCAGGCACAGTCATCGACTTTCGACCATCATGAACGCTGATCGCATCGTTGTCATCGAGGATGGTGAGGTTGTCGAGCAGGGCAATCACGCCGACCTCGTTACCGCTAAGGGAAGATATGCCGACCTATGGTCTAAGCAAACCTTCCTGAAGCCCAAGGATGACGATTCCGCCACCAGCAAAAAGTCAACTGCAAGTGACACCGACGACTCCACGCTCGACGGCAGCTCGGAGACAGATGCTTCTGCGTCCGAGGACACCCAGACGACACCGACTCAGGCAAGCAAGGGAAACGAGGCTGTTCAGACCCCCGGTAACCACAAGAAAGAGGTAGAGTCAGCTGAAGATTCGTCTTTGGCAGATTCTAACCACTAATTGTGTAGGGATCTCGATTGAACCCCGTTGCACCCGAATTCACGCCCAAGTCGACCCCAATCACCAAAATTTCTTTTCCATCCCCCAGTCGCCAACCCGTCACGGAATCCGCGAAGCCACATGTCTCGCCCATTCGACAGACTCCCAAGCGGGTCTTGAATTGGGTGAGCGCAACTTCTTCGGATGACGATTCCTCCCCGCAATCCATCGTCGGCACCACGACCATTTCTGCCGGCAGCCGCGCTCAACTAAGCCCTCTGTCTGGTAAGACTCCCTTCATGATGTATGATTGCTCTCAAGAAAAGAAGCCTGACCGCTTTATTGCGGCAGGTGCTCGACACGACAGTAAGGTACAAGACTCCGACAATGACTCAGTGGACACTGTCATCAAGCTTGAGCTTCCCCTATTCAGGACCCCTCACTCTACTGCCCGTCGCTACAACGCGATGAGCGATTCGAATGGACAAGGTAGTGGCGATTTTGATGCGATGGACCAAAGTGGCGATGATGCTGATGGGTCCGTTGCTGTAAGATCCTCACAGCCATCTGCAGCCCAGCATGAAACTAATGGGTTGCAGGAGGTACGCCACGTATCTGCACCGGTCTTGAAGCTGAAGGCCGCCACACCGGGCCAGGAGACTCGTGCTTCCCCAATGACCATCATCGTAACCAGGGACTTGATCAATGACAAGCTGCCGACACCCGGCTTGACCAGCACTCCTGCTTCTCGCCACAAGGAAAACGTGCCTGAGGAATCTCACGGTCCGGTTGCAATCAAACCAACGAAGTCAACATCTCCTCTCAAGGAGGTCACGCAGTCTAATTCAGCGGCACCCTCGCTCGCTCGCGATCCCCAGCAGTCCAACATCCATCGTGGTCAGAAAAAACGGCACAACCGAGGCGGAGGCCGTGGACGTGGCCGACATGGCCATGCAAAACCCCCAGATCATGGTGCTCATCATTAGCTCTTCACAGCTTCTCAATTGATCCTGCGCCGCACATTATCAGATTTCTTTTGTTCGAGTTGGCACTCGTCCAGTGTCACATGGCGGCATGTACTATTCTTGGCCCATCAAATGGCTTGTTTGGTGCCACTTTCTACGGTATTATTTAGAGAACGGCGTCAGCGCAAGCTGGCATGTGTAAAAAGAGACGAAGGGGGCTACATTTCATATCGTGCGAGTATTGTGTTTCAAATCAAAAGCAAACCAAAATTGGCGAAGGGTCAGTTTCACTAGAATTGGTGCGGAAAAGCTTTAGAACAGACTGGCGGATACTTGAGTTTAGATTAGACTGGATGTATGGATAAGACGGGTCGATAGCTTGATCAACATGCTGAGTTACCTCAACAGACCTTTGCCTGTTTTCAAATACATTGTTCAACCTTCAACAAGGAGACTCGGCTCATGGGGCCGTTAAAGGTGTTCTATTCATGCACAGGTGTCTTGTGTACGTTGTTGTGAGGGTAATTCTAGTAGTGAGTCGGAGTGGTCATCAACTGTGGTTCCCGGCTTCTCCAACGGGGACGTTTTTTTTCAATAACGAATTTGATCCTCTTAAAACAACGTCTTAGGCCGAGCCTCCACGGCCAGCACCAGCGCCTCCGCCGGGAGCTCCGCCAGCAGCACCGCCCGGTGCACCTCCACCACCCATCATGTTGCGTGCCCTAAGAAGAGTTAGGATTCAAATTATTACATTGGCACAGGTAAGATCACTTACATGTCTGCAATGTTGGGGTCGGACATGAGAGCGTTCAGGTCAGGCATGCCTCCACCGCTGCCGAAGCGGTCGGCCATCTCGCGCAGACGCGGGTTGCTCATGAGGTTGCTCATCATGTCAGGGTTGCTCATCAGGTTCTGGGCCATGCTCGCGAACATAGGGTTGTTCATGATCTGGCTGAAATCGGGCATGCCTCCGGCACCGCCCGCACCACCACCAGCCCCTCCTCCGCCGCCGAGCATGCTCGCCAGACTGCTCAAGTCGGGCATACCGCCCGCGCCACCGCCCATGCCGCCACCGATGCCGGGTGACTGGCGGGGCAGATCGCGCTCCTCGACCGACATCTCCTCGACGCGGCGCTTGGCCGTCTCGAAGCCCTTCTTCATGGCCTCACTGCCGCCGGAGCCCTCAAACTCGATGCCCTTTCCGTAGGCCTCCATTGCGCCCTTTGCGTCGCCGAGGGCGAAGCGGGCGAGGCCGAGGCGGGACCAGGCTTTCGTGTAGGCCGGGTCGACGGCGACGGCGGCCTCGGCGTCTGCTTTGGCGGATTCGTGGTCCTTTGCGGCGGAGTGGGCGGCCGCGCGGTTGGAGAGGAAGACGGCGTTGCCGGGGTTCAGGGCCAGGGCCTGAGTGTAGAGGGCAATGGCGGAGGGGTAGTCCTTTGAGGCCATGGCGGCGTTGCCCTTTGACTTGAGGGCGTCGGCCTCCTTCTTATCTTCTTCGGTCACCGTCTTGGAGGCCGAGGCGGCGGCGTCGGCTGCGCCTGCTGCTGCTGCGCCGGCGGAAGCGCCCGCTGCCGCGGCCGGGGTGGAGGCGTTCTTGAGCTTCTCGTAGACGGAGTAGACTTGGTAGAGGTTCTGGGCGCCGACGGCCTCTGCGAGGATTTTCTTGTCGGTGGGGTCGACCTTGAAGGAGTCTGCGATGCACTGGATTGCGACGTCGATGGAGTCCTTGTCGTCGGCGGGGAGGGTGCCGTCGTTGACCGAGGTGGAGAGGAATTCGCAGATTGCGACGGCGAGGCGCTGTTTGGAGGTTACTGTCGCCTGGAGGAGGGGAGGAGGGGTAAAATGTTAGCTCATGATTGTATTCTTCTCTTGGCTGTCTGCCCCTTTCTAGGGAGGCTGGAATGGGATGGGCTGCTTACCATTTTGACGATGTGTGGACTTGTGGACGTGTATATAATCGAATGGAGGGAGGGTTCGACACGAGGATGGGGGTATCAAGAGGTGTTGGAAGATGGTGGAGAGCTTGGATGTTGTGTTGTTGGTTTTTTGGGGGATCGTCCTCCTTTGTTGCGATGGCTGGCGGGTTGGGCTTTGCGGCTGCTTGGCTTGCCCGCGTCACTCCCCACGTTCTCTTTTCGCCGGGTCGGTACAGCTGTTTGGCTGGAAGGTTCCAGCGCAGTCGCGTTGAAGGTGGGGGAGGGGGGACTGGGCGGGTGGGCGTCAAGCAGCGGCGGCGTTGGAGCCTTGGAGGGGAAGAGCCTGGAGGAACGTACCGGTTACCCCGCTGAATGGGAAAGGAGCATTTCCTCTTGGCTTCAATTTCATGCAATCATGCAGATATGCGGTTAAATGCACACGACATCCATATTCGTCACTATCGACCGCACAAATGTAGAAAAATAGTCTGACTGATTCATCGCTGTTTAAGCAGAGGCCGTGGAGATGGGAAACGTCTCGCCATGCTGAACGAGATCTAATCACACAGAAAAGAAACAAAGCAAAAAAAAGGTATACACTCCTCCTATCCTATCCGCCAACGCCTTGTGATATGCTGGTGTGTACTGTCGCTGTTAATATTTGTTTGCTTTCTTATCTCAACGTTCCCTACGCAGCGGGAGAAGTGGGAGAGGTCTGGTTCCTCCGCCTGTCCACGTTGCGAATCTTGCGCAGGGGCTTGTTCTTCGCGAGGCGGTATTTGGTGTAGAGCCGGAATACGTCGCGGATCACAACGTACATGCAGCCACCGACGAGGTTCCGGCCCCATTGCTCCTGGAGCAGCCCCGTCCGGATCTTGAACCGACCAAAGGTGCCCGCCGGAGATGTCCAGGGCTTGGGCAGCGCCAACCGGATGGCTTCGCCCATGGCGGCCGAGAAGACTGGGAGCAGGAGCGTGCTCACGATCGCATTTGTGACGTCCTTGAGGCTGGCCTGAATACCCCGCTGGCGTGGTGCTGCGGGTGCCGGCTGGGCTGCGGGTTGTTGAGGTGCCGCGACCGCTGCCTGCTGAGGCTCGTTGCCTGGCTGGGGTAGCTGAGCAGGGAGAGCAGCAGCAATATCTCCGCCGCCATTCTCTTGCTCCGCTGCATGCGCCTCCTCGATCTCCTCGACGAGAATCTCGAGGTTGACGACATCATGGTCCTGCCCCATTTCCACTTCCTCTAGCTCGACCTCCATTTCCACGTCAGGGATGTCCAGCATGTCGATGGCGGCATCGATCAAACCCCCGACCAAGCCGACGTTTCTAGCGGCTTCGTTGGCGCCATCGTTGTTCCTACCACGGCGGCGGCGGTTGCCATTCGGTCTGTTGTTTGCCTGGGGTGCTGGCTCGGGCAGTCCGGCAATTGTGCGCTCCCACCTCTTCTCATACGGGCAGACAAACTCGTGCCAGAGGTTATTGTATACAGCTCTAATGTACGGAAAGCACGCTGCCGCGAGTTGGGGGGATGGAGGCCAGGAGAAGAAGTGGTCGTCTTTGGCCATGTGGAAAACGCCGTACTATATCATGTCAGTCAGGTCTGCCAAAAGTGAGTGTGAGAAAAGGATGCTTACCAGCGCGGCGACGGGCATGAAGAAGACATTGCCCAGGATAGGCACCGATGAGCCCAGGACCAGGGCGGGCGCGATAGTCGGCAGGATCGCGACGTGGATCCAGTTGACCATGGGCACGCCTCTGGGGTTCCTGTCGTTGAAGAAGAAGCGATACGTCGCCTCGGGGCCCGCAAACACCCGCACTGCAATGTTGCCGTACATGGCCAAGCTGACCCATGTGCCCGCGCCGATCCCGCCGAGGATCAAGCCTGGCGATACCCTGCTGAAGGACTTGTAGATCTGGTTGCTGAGCGCGAGCGCCGGGTCGTAGGGCTCGTCAATGTTGATCTTGGCCTTGCACACCGGGCAGAGGATCTCCTTGCCCTCGCGCTCCAGCTCCGTGACCCACTGGATCATGCAGTCTTGGTGGCCTTCGAGGGTGCAGGGGCACGGGTCGACCCAGGCGGACTCGGAGGCGCCGGACTCGTTCTCGTCCATAAGGCAGATAAAGCAGCGGCGCTCGCCATCTTGAGGCCCGGTCTGAAGTGAAGGTATCGTGTCGGCCATATTGGGCGGCTGGCGCAAGGGGCTTCAGATGGACGTGGTCGGTTCGTTGAGGTTCGGGGGTGGAGGGTGCGGAGGAGGGTGAGGGTAAACCGTGTGCGGGAGCTCTTGAGCCCGCGGCGCAACAAGGTTCGCAAAGGTGGGGAGGTAGTGTGCTTCTATCGCATGATAAGACTTGCAATAAAGTGTCTATTTTGGTACTGCAAAGTTGTAGAGAAGCGATACTGAAAGGTGGGATATCGTGAGGTGGTTGTGAACAGCCTGATTGTCTGTTGGTAGCTGGTCAAGCTTGAACGGGTGTGACATCAACCGCCCCATATGTCCGACCAACTGCGAGTGGAAGTCCATGGTGAGCCGAGGCGCAGGGTGGAGCCCTCGGGCGTTACCTTAAGGTGCTCGAGTCTATGTGGCTTGAGTACTGCTTCTGTGGCTGTGCAGCTGAGTCAACATCTCCGTGACGACACAACAAGACGGAAGATACTTAGTTATGCGATCCTGAGCTCGTGGAAGGCAAAACCAAACCTTCCCACTCTCAATCTCTGATATAGGCAGGCGCAAGAAAGCTGTCATTTTTTAACATCTATACGCAAAATTTTGAGCGTCTAGAAGATGTTATAGTTGCTTGGCAAAGTGTATTGCTTTGATTTCTACGCCGGGAAATATTACGTTTTCGTTACAAGGATTTAAGCAAAATTCGACTTACAACACCGTTTTCTTCCAGACATTTCCTTCAACCTGTTTTTCCATCTACGTGTTCTTATGATCTTGATAGATATGTTAATGGTTCCACATCGCCCCGCGCGCCTCTTGTCCAAGGTCAGACTCGTCAAGTGAATGTTCGGGCCCTATTCAATGGTGCGTACAACAAGGGTGTTGATCATTCTAGCCATGACACCCATGAGCTTCCTGCAGAGTACCGTTATAGCTGGACACGTAGAGACCACAATATTATTGGCTTTCCCGTCGCCATCGGTAATGAACGAGAGTCTTGCCAAATGGCGCTTTCCGTATTTGATCATGATCTTCGAACTCGAGTATCGGTATCGTCCTCCCATCATTCCCGGAGGCGTTCTCAAATGATTGCCAGGAGATCAGTTCAGTTATAAAACCCAAACTTAGTCCAGCCTGTTTTTTCCCTGGCACATTTAAGCCAAAGTAGTGGTACGGTTTGTTATTGTCGCGGGTGCAATATTGTTATCTGTTTCTCGTTGTTTGTCTAGACCTATGAACAAGTCCAAAACTACCTTGGGACCCTAGAACAAGCTAGCGCCGTTAACAATTTCAGATATGGCTATGGCTTCCTTCCCAAACTAAGTAGGTAGATACAGGATACCATCCGTGTATAGTGAGCCTGTTGTCAAAGAGACCTCTACAACATTGAGAGCTATTCCTATTTGTCCTCAGTTATAATTGCTTCTATCTTTCAATGTTCACTCCGAGTCGGAAATCCTTGTGCCGTATAAGAAAGACAGACATGGAGGGGCTGTCCTGTCCCCCTTCAACTCCGATAATCATTGTATAGATCTCGCTAGTCAATGCCACTGACTCGATCCCAAAAAACAGACATCTTTTTGACATTTAATACGTTTTGCGGTTTTGCTCCTCCTCTCACTTCTACATACTCTTTGCTCTGGTCCCTTCAGCCGGCATAGTATTCGAACGCAATCGGTCTCCTTAGCTCCTTTCTTCGGCGGTGAGCATCTCATCAACAGTGTGTTCGGTAGCAGTATTATCTCCTCCCAATTGCCTGGCGTCCTCCCCCAGACTTTGCACGATGTCAAGCAGCGGTCGTCCCATGAATGCTTTACTTGGAACTGACCAGGCTCAGTTGGTGGTCGAGGCTTACAAGAGCAATGCGAGAGATAGACATTCATTGCGCTTGTGCATCGACCAGTTCAGACTCAGGATCACCGAATTGGCCCGGAAATTCGGGCAAATCCCCAATGTCGAGGTCGATCAAGGAACTGGCACAGGCATTGTAGGTAACCCTGATCCCAGATGCTTTGAGGAACACGGCGGCGTCGAGCTCCACTCTTGGAGAGAGAAAGAGCGTTTACGAATTTTCCGCAGTAGAAGATGAACAGTCATACATGGCGACTTCCGGTTCATCAACTAGTTCCCACCGGAACCATATTCCCATGTCGTATCAGATCTCTTGTAGAGGGTGTGCTTGAAATCTTCGATGCCAACAGACTGTTCAAATACATCGCTCGCCTTGTCAAGCCAGTAGTGATGTTGCATCAACGACAGAAGTATGCATGCACTGCGGTTGATAGGGACGAACTTCGTGCGCTGGAATTGGCCTTGCAAAACTATATCTGGGGGACCAGGGCTGGGAGGTCATTCCGTGATCAGAGGCTCGCCGGATGCTTTGGGACCCTGTGGGAGGTTTTCATGGCCTCGAGTAAGCCCTGTCGCATACCTAGGTTTTGCGATTTCCTTCAGATTTGTAGCGCTTCTAACTGACGATTGATTCCATCACAAACTTATCAGTAAGACCAACTTAACTCATTGTCCTTGTGCGGCCTTAATTGTTGCAGGAGAACTGGACCGACCGCATGGCTGATGTGCCGGTCTTGCTGCAGTGCCTCGATGATCACACACCCGCTCACGTTTACACGTAGGCTGCCTGCGGATGCGGGTCATGTCGATGATTACGAATCCAAGACCTGTTCTGACCTACATGGCGTAATCCCCCGGAGATCCAGCTCGCAGAGCCAAAACAGTGACTGCACCGGCGGTCGTATCTCGCAACGGCGTTTGAAGGCCCGATGTTGGTTGAATGGCCATCCCGTCGGCCACAGCCGCTTCGCCGTGCCTTCGGCGAAGGACGGGAGAACATCAAAAAGCCATCCGCGCGCACCGAATGCGATCATAATATATGCTGCGCCAACCCCTTGATTTTCAACGTCATCCAGGGCAGTGCTTCTGCCTCCCCCGAACGTAGATCTGCCGAGCTCCCTCAAAATCTCCGGCGGCTTCCCGGCGGGATACGACGCTCACCGTTCACGGACTGTGGGCGATCGGGCTCCGAAATGACCCTGCAGGATGTCATTTGCTTGGCCGACTTAGCGCCGCGATAGTGCCAAGGGCCGCATACTCCCCTGTCCGTCCGCAGCCCTGCCTAACGGGAGTGCGGAAACGCGAATTCGCAGGCGACGGCGGACTTGGTTGCACCACTGGCGCGCGGATCCGGATGCAGGTACGCAAAGACTTGGCCTCTGGCCTGTGACTGTGATGTAAATGGGATCCAGTGAGCTTAAAGCATGTTTCGTCTGAAGAGCACAGCCTGAGAGGGCCGCAGCATTCACAGTTCTGGAGTTGGGTGTTTAGGTTGGCACGGGTTGCCACCATGGTTGTTATTCTCCGCGGGACATCAAGGATTATGTCTGGATCGAGGGGCCTCCCGTGGTGTTGTCACCAACAAGATGATTTGGGGAAACTGTATGGGTTATTCATCAAAACACCCTCCTCAGCAGTCTCAGCCCCCTTAAAACGCACAGATGGGAAAGATACTGTGTGGGAAAGTTTCGACACCAGCCACAGAGGTTTGAGACTCTTCCGTTGGTCATCCCGTCTCACCATTTTAGCCCACATCGAACAGAGGGAAGAGAACCCTGGCCGGGACGTCCCATTGGTGCTTCAGCCCAACTTGACAAGCCGCACGGCTTTTAATAGCATGAACGGCCTCCCGGCACGGCACATCGGATGGTGGGCGCTGCCCAGAGCGACCAGCTGCAGGTGTTAGGGAAGAGGAAATGGTACAGCCACCCATGCACACGCGTCCCCTCAATAGATTTCACCCACTAATGAACCCCACCATGGCTACTCCACTGCCGGGAGGCCGAGTGGCAGGTGTTTGCCGTTGCCAGATGCTCAAACGTACGTCAGCCTCCTTGAGATGGGGTGGAAGTGAGGTGGTTGGCTCCAGCTTGTCCAGCTGGAACTCGCGTGATGGGTTCTCCTAGTAAAGCTCAAACACCAGGTATCCATGTATCCTGTTGATTCTGCCCTTCTTTAATGGAGACGATGACCCGCCATCGAAATAAGGGGGCGGGTTCGGTTTCCATGGTTCTTCACTGAAAGCCTCAGCCATTTCTCTCGTTCTATCTCTTCTCTTTTAGAAACTTCTTTTCCTTCCAATATACTATCGTTGAATTGAATTTTAGAGGGTTCTTCCTTCGCCGTAAAATTACTCACAATGGCATTGTCTTTCGTTCGTCAAGCGTCGCTCGTTGCGCTTCTCGCTTCTACAACTTTCGCTCAAACTTTTACCGATTGCGACCCTACTAAGAGTAAGTTTAACTTTTTGGATCCGCGTTCATTTGAGGATATTTCGACATGTCCTCCACATCACGGCAGCCTATGCTTTGGCGGATGGATCGTTTTGCTAACACGAGATAACTAAGAAACTTGCCCCGCCAACAAAGGTCTGGCAAAGAGCACCTATGAGGTCGACTTCACCAAGGGCGCCGACAACGATGCCTGGACCGTCACCGCCGGCAACATCACCTACGGCACTGATGGCGCTGAGTTCACCCTGAACAAGAAGGGCGATGCCCCCACTATCGAGACGTCGTGGTATTTCTTCTTCGGCCGCGCCGAGGTCCTCATGAAGGCTGCCCCCGGAACCGGTATCGTCAGCAGTGTAGTTATCGAGTCCGATGATTTGGATGAGGTCGACTGGGAGTGGCTCGGCGGCAAGGATGCCGAGGTTCAGACCAACTACTTTGGCAAGGGCAACACCACCAGCTACGACCGCGGCGCGTTCCACACCATCGCCGCGACTCAGACCGAGTACCACAACTACACCATCGACTGGACCAAGGAGGCCGTCACCTGGTACATCAACAGCAACCTCGTCCGCACCCTCAACTACGCCGATGCCCTCGGCGGCAAGAACTTCCCCCAGACCCCGGCCCGCCTGAGACTCGGCATCTGGGCCGGCGGCGACCCGGACAACAACGCCGGCACCATCACCTGGGCTGGCGGTGAGACCGACT